ATCAGGTTTTGCCTTTTGAACTAGATCGTTTATGCTAATCTATGTTGAGGCATTAAAGCAATAAATAAACTAGAACACACAAGTACACAACACTGTAGAAGGAATTAGATTAAAAACTATTAACTTACAAAAGTAGCTTTTATAGGTGAGAAACTACCTGAAAATTCACAGGTTTTACTACATACATCACATATGAATGAAGAATTAAAAATGCTACTAGAACTATTAGATAATGAGGGATAAGTGGTAGTATATCCATCACTAATGCACATATAAAGTCTCGAATTTCAGTCATTGGATCAAAGGCGCTGTACCAGAATGAGCCTGCGGCAGCACAAGAAGCCAAAGCTAGCAGTGTTTGATAACACGAGATATCCTCTCAAAGAAAATGGGGCACATGCTCGTGCTGAAGATGATAACTTCTTGCATCCACTCCGGAGCCACATTAGCAAATGTCCCTAGGGAGGAAACATGATACAATAACTCTCCAGTTGGGGCAGCCTTATTCACCCATGTCAAAGTAAATGAATAACCTGCAATAAGCCAAAATAGACAAATTTAAGTTTAAAATTTGCCAAATTAAGTGCAAAGGTAAATTTATCATATAACATACATGCACTTATGCGGCAAACAGCAACAGTCCAAGGACTAGCTTGTCCATGAAATGAGAAAATAGTAACACACTAACACCATTTCCACTAAAGAATGTCCATGAAGGAAGTCCATGAATATAAGCATGTGTGTTGGTGTTTCTATGAATTCACGTTGGTGTTTCTATAAATTCACTCAAACTAAAAACACAGCCAAAAAAAAAAACTGGAACAGGGGCATGGTTCAATACAGAACAAAAGGCTCATATGAAATCTATGTGAAAGTCATAGGCTAAAAATCTCCATAAATATGCACTACATAAGGTAGTATAGGTTATTGTATGAGAAATGGGACAATAAATTATACTTCAGAAAGAGAGTGAGGACAGAAAATTTAAGGTAAAAATGTAGTGTACAGGTGAAAGAGATAGTGACACTTCAAACTTAACACAAAACTCCAAACATTAAGCGTATATGTCATGAGGATGGGAGCTGCTTGTCACTTTGTCAGCAACAATCTCTCCATCCATGCTAACAGATGATCAACAATGAATTACCACTGGACTGATGAACTGCATGTAAACACCTTCCCTCAGGCTGATTTGCAACAGAAACTTTCATGCCAGTCAGGCACTCGACAAAATTTTGAAACAGGCATTTACAAGGACCTGTTACGGAAATAGTAGAGTATTGAAAAGAAAATTTGTTAGTTAACAAAGAATTTAGCAGGCATATATTCTCAAGTTGATTGGTGGGATAACAACATAGACATACCTTCATTGTCAATGTTGCTCCAACAACATTCTGGCTGCACGTTCACACACAGAACAATCAGTAAATAATACGAAGTATCAATAATCCTAGGCTCAAGAATAGCCCCAAAAAGTACCTGCACATGTGCATTCGAAACATCTTTAGATTGATCTGATAACTTTTTTTTCTTGGTTGGAGGCTCGTGAAGACCAGCTGATGCACTATTTGTGGCAGAATCAGTTTCCATTAGAAGTCTAGCACGTGTCCTTGTCATACTCATTGGTGATTCATTCACCTGCCCTCGAGATACAGATGGGCTACGTTGAATACTGTTAATATTCTGCTCCTCATGTTGGTTATTTTGGTTGCTAGAGTTGGGAATCTCCTGCTGTAACTGGTGTAGTTTCTCAACCTCTGCAGAAAGCTCGTGATCTGCATACACTTGACAAAGAGTCAGTCTTGAGTCAAAACTAACAATGCAACAAAAGCACCACACCTAGAGAGAACCCTCCACACTCTTAAGTCCTTAACCATGAGATAAAATTCAAAAACAGAGGTGATATTGCAAACTAGACAAAAGCATTGGCAAGGTGCTACCCATGTACCCCACGAGACCCCAAAAGCCCATTTGGGTGGTTAGGACCATCTGCCAAATTGTCATTAAGACATTTACGTAAACGCCTCACTTAAATAACTCAAGGCCATCATGGGCCATTATGCAACCAACTATTGGTCATACATGGTTCCAAACAACATTATATGACCTTGAGATGCATCCCCTATCATCCCAAAAGTTTTCGTAATCAGGTCCCAAAACCTCCAAAATTGGTCCAAAAGCGTGGATTATAGCCTTCACTTTTGGACAAATTTTGACTTTTTTGGACCCGGGGATAAAACCTTGTTGGGGCCTTGGGGGGAGTCCATTTGGGTGGTTGGAACCATCCACTTTGCCTTTGTACCGTTAATTTAACCGTTTACAACGTATGTCTCCTTTCAGCGACTCAAGGCCGCCACGAACCTTTATATGACCGAATACTAGTCGTATATGGTTTTGAACAATATTATATGACCCTGGAATGAATCACCTACGATCTCAAGACTTTTTGACATCGGGTCCCAAAACCTCTAAAAAAGGTTTGATTTCATGTATTATAGCCTTCAGTTTTAGCTTTTAGAGAACAAATTCTAACCTGCCAGATTATGCATCGAGGTGTTTTCGAAGGATCCCAAAGAAACATGAGAGGCATACTTAGTGCCTGAAACCATCTCACTCAAGCCTTAATCCACTCTTTGCCATAATGTCCTAAAATGCCTTAGCTTGGCCTTGCGTTGTCTTAGCTTGCATTGCATTGCATTCCTAGGCCTTGCAATACCTTGATTTGGCACTAAGGCAAGCCAAGCTGCTACCCTCAATTGCCAAAAAATAGAATTTTTTTTTTCAAGTATAAGGTGTTTTATGCATTGTCCTTGTGCACATTCCCCATGCCTTGGCCCCAAGAGTTGTTGGCATTGGCAACAACATCACCACCTAACACCCCACACTTAGGTGTTGCGCTTTGCCCTAATCCCATACTAAGCATTTTTTACCACCAAAGGTGCATCCCTACCCTCGTTTAGCAAAACATAGGAATTTTAGGGGCTAAGGAGTGAGGGGAACAAAACTGATTTTCCTTTCATTTTTCTGATTCTAATTATCGTATGTTCCTTTTCTCTTTGGGGGGGGTGGGGGGGGGGGGCAAATGTATCCTTGTGCACCCTTTAATGTCAAATTCCAATGTTTAATACCAAATTCAGTAATTCCCAATGGAATGAGCAGCAACTACCCATGAACCTCTACAGTCTACACTATATGGCATGTTTATCATCCAATATGCTTATAGCATAATCCAAGAACATAAAGCAACTATCAGAAAAATTGGCAGTATATTAAACTTACTCTTTTGTTTCTCCTCCGTTAAAAGTTGCTGGAAATCATCATACTGTTGGTCTTTAGCAGTTCTGCAACCCGAAAAAAAAAAAAAAAAAAAAAAAGGTGGTCATGATTAGGCTTAGCAAATAAAACTCATCAAATATTGCAACGATAGATACCTCAGAGACACAACTTCACTCCGTAATTCATCAATAGTTTCTAACAATCTGTTTTTCTCACTGGTCAAATGATTTACTAGAGATTCCGACGCTGCAATGACAATTAAAATGGAGGTAACATGAACAAGTAACCACCATCATCCAAAAAATGCAATGCCCATTTACCAACAATGTAGACTTTATAGTTAAATATCTAGCAATGAAAATCAAACTTTAAAGAGAACGAAAATCGAGCAAAATTACACAAATCGTTAATAGAGTGGTGAAATTTAAGAGTAAAGAATGACTACCAGATATAAACTCAATAAATTTCACTTCTTGTTCTTGATTAGCTTGATCCAACTCACGATCTTTCTCTACCTAAATTCCAAATAGACAATCATTTAACGCCAGAAACCCTATAAATTCATCAAAAAAAATTCACTAGAGAGAGAAAAAATCATCGAAAAAACCCGCATAAACTCATAATTCTGTAAAATTTCCCAATTTGGGGAAAAATCCCTAAAAATGAAAAGGCTGAAGGATAAAAATTGAGAGGAAAACCTTGAGTTTTGAGTACTTTTCGTAGAGTTTAGAGTAAAGCGCCTCCATCTGCAGAAACAACATGCAAATTCGGTTATTAATTGTAAAACTACTACCAGAAAAATTGAAAATTTGATTAAGGGAAGCATAAACCCTAATTGTAACAATTGAAGAAATTGGAAGCTTGAACTAATTAAAGTTGAATAAACTGCAAATTCGAAACCTTGAATTCGAAGATGAAGCTTGATTGAAGAAAATTTGAGCGGAAAAAATGGAGTGTAGGAGAGAGAAATCAATGGCTAATTAGCGCGAAATCAAACGACTGGAATTCTAATGTGAGGAGAGGAGGAGAGCACTTTAGACTTGACTACATGAGCGGTTTGAGCCTTGAGCCCTAAGTCAAGTGAACCATGTTGAAGTTGGCTAGAGGCACAACAAGTGAGGATTGGTTTGCTCCGGAGCCTCGGAGGCGGTCCCGGCTAATTGTTTATCAGCCTTTTCAACTTGTATTTTTTGGTTAACTCGGTTAATAAGGATTTGTTACTTAAATCCTTTTAAGGCATTGTAATCCCTCTTTTGGGATTCATTTGTATTACAAAGGTAATGCACATTACGTAATTTGTTAAGGAAAACTTAAACAAATGTATTTCTTTTATTGATGTCAATTACTTGTGTGAATAGTTTTGTTGGAATCAATACGAGTAGTGTTATTTCTTAGAATCCACTTAATGCGAACAAAGAAGCTAGTCAATATCAATAAGAGTTGCTTGCAGCTTGCCCCATAAAAAACGAGATGCAATAGTGTTGGCTATAGTGCTCCAAAATTCGAATTTATTGATTCCAAGAATAGATTAAGGTTGTCACTGATACAATGATAGTATGATACCCAAAGGAAAAGTTAACTTGTCCTTGTACGAGTACTTTATTTCTTCTTACTCCATATTTTAGGTAAATTCAAACAAGATATAAAATTAAAAACATATCAAAACGATGAGTTTTGTTCGAGCATCTCAACAAACCGATGCGTTTAGGTTGTAAAAACCAATTGAAGTAAATTCTCTCAAACAAAACCCTCTTTCAGTTGTTCGGCTTCAGTGCTTCACTAACCGCTTTCTCTCTTTCAATGGCTTCTGAAAACCAACCAAAAACCGCAAACACCAATGACCCCAAAAAACGCAAACGTTGTTACTTACCTCACAACGTAAATCCTCCTTTTCCCATTTTCATTTCTTCAGTTTTTATATACTATTGATTATATGATTAATTTAATAAACTTGTTCTTTGATTTCTGTGTGTGTGTGTTTTTTTTTTTTTTTTTATAATTTAATTTGTTTACCAGAAAGCAGTGAAGAAGAAGGGGCCAAGCCCTTTAAGACCAGGAATTCAAGGCTTCTTCATAACCTGTGATGGTGGAAGGGAACACCAAGCTTCTCATGAAGCTATCAATGTCATTGATACTGTATGATTTTTATTTTTTATTCGTCTTTTATTATTTATTTATGTTAATAGATTCAAAAAATGTTATTTGATTGATAAAAAAAGTAATCTTTAGCACCCTAATTATTCAAGTTTAAATTTTTATGTTCATTTTGTTAATTAACTCAACTATTAATTTGTTAGGCTTAATTCATGTGATTAATTGATGGGGTTTGATAATCTTGGTGGGGTGGTTGATTTGAAGTGAAATGTGATTTGTGGTTAAATTTATAGTTTAATTGGTTTATGAAGATTGAGCCTTGCTTAATTGTTTAAGGTGGACCTTGTAATTGTCAAAAGTTGGGCTTTTTTCGCTGATATTTGTTGTTGGTTTGAACTTCAAGTATTTAAGCTAGAATATATGAGAAGTTTCCAAGAGCTAATAGTTATTTTAGGCTTAAGGAAAGATGAGAAGAAATTATCTTTTGGAATTTCAAATTTATAAGAACTTTGGAGGAAAGGAAAGTGATGAAATAAGTAAAGACATAGAAGGAAAGTGATGAATATTCGTTAACCAAGTGGTTCTACAGATATTGAGTTGAATATGGGCTCTGAACATGCTTAATGTAGACTATGCTACTTAAGCATGGGTATTGGTTTGAAGTTGTATGATTGCAACAAGAGATTAAAGTGGACCTTTTCCCTTATCATTAGCATTGGTTTGAACTCTTTGAAGGGTTCCAACTAAGGTATTTACATTCTGTTATATAAAAAAGTTTCGGCACGCATTTTCCTTGATAATACAGCTTCCTGTTCCTAGTAGTGTTTCTTAGGTTGCACAAATGATCAAGAGGAAAAACGTGGAAGAAAGATTGTAAACTACTGACAAATAGATCATTAGTTGAATATCCATGAACAAAGTAATTCAAGTGATATTTAGTAGGTATCATCTTTCATAACATGGACTTCATAGCTGTGCTACCTACTGCCTACTTGCCTAGGCAATTAGGCATGGATATTGGCTTGAAGTTGTATCATTGCTTCAAGAGATTATAGTGTACCTTTTCTTTTATCTTTATTATTGGTCAAGACTTGAACTTTGAATGGTCCGAACTCAGTTATTTTCTAGTACTAGAATTTTCCAGCGTGAGTTTGTCCTAGTAGTACAGCTTCCAAAAACCATTGTTTCTTGTGCTGCACAAATGGTCCAGATTTTTTTTTTTCACAAGGTGGATGATGAGAAGAGGAAAACAATTAAAAAGAGCTTGTCATTTGCCAAAAGTGTTATGGTCTTACTATTAAACAGACGACAGCTCATGAATTGTGCCGGATCAATATTACTGTAGTATCCTTGCAAAGCAGCTGTTTCATACAGACCTAATTGGCACATACATAAACACCCATATACTGTACAATACTTGAGCATTATCAAGTCTTACTTGTTGTTCTCTGTGCTTGAACTTTTGCATAAAATTTCACATAACAAAGTATATGGAGTGTCTTATACACTCAAGTCTTAAATGTTATATGATTTGGCTGTGAAGGCCCTTATGTTGTCATGAAATTGGACCTGTTCTGGTTTATTTCCTCCTGTTTGTCTGTGTGATAATCCTATAAAGTATCAATTTTTATTTTTTTTAGATTTTAGAAGAGCTGATCGATGGTAAGGATTCAAGGGCTAATATAACAGTGATACCAGAGAAACCTGCAAACAAAAAAATAAAGTTTTCATACTCTGACTCTTCTGATAATGAAGAAGATGATGACAATGTTGACGAGAATGGAGCCGAGAACCAGTCTGAAAAAGTTGCAGAAGAGGTTGCTAACAATGGAAGTACCCTGGAAGAAAATACTGATCCTGCTAAGAAGGATGATAAGTTGCCTGAGGTTGGATCAGGACAAGTTGCTGATGGTTGTGAGGAAGTTGATAAACAAGCTGATGACAAAAGCAAGGAGAATGAGGAACCAATCGAAAAGAAACAGTGCAGTGATACCAAAAAGTTAGAAAGCATAAATCATACCGCAGAGCTATCTGTTGATAAGTTGATAGAAGCTGAACTTAAGGAATTAGGAGATAAGAGCAAGGTGAGTTAATATGACAATCCGTAAAACACTGCCCCCCACCCTCCAAGTCTAACATGTTTAAGGTACATTATACATCATAATGAGTGTTTCTGTTATACTAGTATTTGAAGTAAAATTGTTTTGTTGAACCAGCGGCGTTTCTCAAAGATTGATACCGGCTGTAATGGTGTTGTCTTTGTACTTATGCGGAGAAGGGATGGAGACCCTAGCCCTGGAGAACTTGTACAGCATATGATGGAATCTGCTTCAGCTACAAAAAAGCATATGTCAAGGTTCAAGCTGCCTTTCTTTATTTAGCTTCTTTATTTGACAGCTTCACAAAAGAGTACTACCTTTGTTGTGGACTTCACTGAGATGTTTCATTTCTGTAGGTTTCTTCTGAGAGTGCTACCCGTAGAGCTTTCATGTTATGCATCTGAAGAGGAAATATCAAAAGCTATTAAGCCAGTTATTGAACAATACTTCCCTGTCACCGCTGAAGCACCGATTAAGGTACTTGCCCATACATGCTTGACAAACACTCTATGGTACCGGCAGATCTAAGTTATTATTTCGCCATAATTATGCATGTTGAATTTTCATTAACAGTGCTTTTTTTTTTTGCTTGAAGATAGTGTTACTTGGGTTTTAATTATTCATACAATCAATATTCTGGTGAATTCTATGAAGATTAATTGTGGTATTTTTACTATGGAGTGATTGACATTTAATGTACAAAACGAACTATGACATGGGAAGAAAAATCCTGCATATCTGTTCGACATAGAAAGTTGGAAGCTGGTGGTGCTTAGATTCCTTCAACTTTATGGCAGTGTTCTTGTGGATCTGATAATTGATTTGTTTTGGATGTACTCCCTCAGTTTGCTGTTCAATATGATGCCCGTGCCAATTCTGGCATCGAGAGGATGAAGATAATAGATGCGGTTGCCAAAGCTGTTCCTGAACCACATAAAGTAGATCTCAAAAATCCACAGAAGACTATTATTGTCCAAATTGTTAAGGTACTGAAAGTGTGTTGTCTTGAGTTCTTGACTGGCTGGCATACATAATTTGCTTTAGTTTTCTCCATAGTCGTCTCTAGATTTTTGTTTGTTAAGACTAAATCCATGTGAATCTTATATTCGACCTTGTTTTTCTAGACTGTGTGCTTGGTTGGTATTGTGGAGAAGTACAAAGAGTTGGCGAAGTTTAATTTGAGGCAGCTCACATCATGATAGCCAGGTTTAAGTAAGGCTTGCTCGAGATTCAACTTGGACAATAAGAACAAGAACGTCAATAGTGACAACAAGAATATGGCCCCAGATCAAGACACACAACAAGAATATGGCCTCAGATCAAGACACTCTTTTTGGGCATCTTGATGATAGTACACAGTTACACACTCATAATGTTGTATACTAGTGGCTCATTCTTTTTCTCTAAACCCCCTATTTGCCTCATATTGTGTGTTTGTTGAGCTAGTGAATTCAAGTCTTCAACTAAATAAACAAATCTGTTTCAGCTTAAATTTTTAACTCTAGTCTGTTGAACTTTAGTGATTGTTACATTAGTCTTTGTTGAAGTTGGATTTATACTAAAAGAACTTAGAATTATGTCATATGTGCACTTACACATTCACTTTCTCTGAAAGCCTTCATTATTCAACTTGAAAATATGAATTAATAAATCAACTCCATATTCCTTTAATTTATTTTATTTATTATCATAATACCGCTTATTTTAGAGAATAAGCAAAATATTCAGGAGATTGTTTTGAGATCTATAGTATTTACCCTTTTAACTATATTTTTCTTCTCATAAGTTTGAATATTTTCGTCAAAATCTGAATTTACAAGCTTTGGGAAGCAGAAGCAAATAGTACATTGTCACTAGGGAAGTAGGGAGTTTATAAATTCCTCCCCTAACACTGAAGTTATTATAGCTTCATACATTATTTTAATCTTATTACACTTGCACTTGCGTTTTTTCGACCATATTTATGATTGTTGATGATATGTTACAATGGTACAGAATTGTTTAAGACTTGTGACTTGTTTGTAACATTAATCTTTCTACACTTTACTCGGAATTTGTCAAAAACTTTGTTCTTCTAAGCCAAATAAAACTCACCCTTGTTACAGACGAGTTCACAATGGTGAGGGCGTAACATTTTTCTAACATATTACGATTGTTGACAATATGATTCACAATGTTAATCCTTCAATACAGAATTGTACAAGACTTGTGTCTTGTTTTATAGACCAAAAGGAGATAAACACACATTAATTATTTATTAGGTAAAAAAAATGTAAAAATTCCATTAAAATAAAAAGGTTCTGTGTAACAACAAATGATTGGCACAAATGATTGAAACACAAAGAATTTTGTCTTTTCAACCTAACAAATCATCATAAACTATGCTCCCAAACCACCCAACCTTTTCATCATCTAACACCCCACACTCTCTATGCTGCTGGCTTGTTGTAAAGCTTTTCCACCATTTTTCTATACTCTGCATCATACCAACAACATAAATTCAGTCAAAATCTCCACTATTTTAATTATGATATATTATACTCTCTCCGTCTTTAAAAGTAGTTCCGCAAAGCCATTTAGAGACGGAGGGAATACTAATATTATTACGACAACTATTAATTTTGTATTAAAATAATCAACAACCCAAAATCACCACCAACCTTCTTGATTGCTCCAAAGAGCTGCTGCTTGTGTGTTTAATGGTGAGCTAGTATTAGGCTCTGAAATTACAACCCCAAAAATCAGAAATTTATTAATCACAACTACAATTAGAAAAACAAAATAAACTTCCCAAATTAAGTGCATTTAATTCAATTACCTCCAAGCAAACTTTGGATAGAAAGCAATATAGTTCTCACATCATAAGCAGATGACCATTTATCCTAAACATTTCATAAATTTACAGTTAGTGTGGCGGTTCGGGTATCCGAGGACTCGAAATCAAAACAATAATCAAGCACAATTAACAATCAGAATGTACCTGAAGAATATCCAAGCAAATGTTACCAAAAACATCGACATTTGGGTGGAAACAACCAGTCTCAAACTTGACTTTAGGAGGTTTAAATGGGTAATCAGCAGGAAAACTTAGGGAAAGTTTATATTCAGTGCCTTCAAATACTGTTTCTTTGCTTCCATGAATTGTTCCTTTCCAGTTGAATATGTTGTCTTCTTCAGGAAACGCTGAGATCCCAGGATCACCACTCATCTAATTCAAATAAACAAAATAAAGATTTTTAGAATTATGTTTTAGTTGATTAAAACTAATTAACAAAATGTATTTTTGTAATATTATGATTTACTTACCATAAGAGACATTAATTCAGACTGCAACCTGTTCAAAAATCGCAAGGAAAAAAAAAAAACAAGGAAAGAAATCGTCAGAAAATCAGTCATAATAAAATTAAAACCCCCAATTTTATATGATTTTTAAAACCCTAATTTTTATGTTCTAGATCAACAAGATGGAGCTTATTCGATTAAAAACCCTAAATCGAAACCCTAATTATCATTTTTCTAAATCGATAAAATTAATCAAATTCAATCAAAACCCGGATGAATAAACTAATTTCAAGTAGTGGGTACTAATCGAATTATTGAAATTCTTCATACAAACCAAGTAATTGAAACTACAAATTCCAAGAACCCAGAAATAATTAATTTATTATATTGACACAAGAGTTAATCAATTGACCTTTTAAGAACGGATTGAGTATCAACAGTCTTAGCAGGAGCAACGTTCTGCTTCGCCGGAAGACCCGCCGGAGTTGCCGCCGGAGTATTGTCGGAGTAACCGCCGTTCATCGCCGCCATTTAAAGAGATAAAGAAAGAAGAAAGAGAAAGAAACTTGAGTAAATCGAAATTTGAAATTCCTTTCTTCTTCTTCCTTCGTAGAGAGAGAAAGGAGGAGAGAGAAAATAGAGAGAAAAAGAAAAGTGATGAGTTTGAGAAGAAGAGATTGATTGATTTGGGGTTATAAACACTGTGATGTTGAAATTAAAATATGAAGAAAAAGTTTGAGAAAGAAATAAACTTTTTTTTTTAATTATATTGATGTTTTTGGAACGTTAGAGTTGAGCGGCGTGATTATACGCGTCCTTTTCCAACGGCTAGTTTTTAGTTAGTGAAAGAGTTGTTGTTTTGTTGTTTTCTTTATTTTTTATTTTTTTTTTTGGAAAACCAACCCCTTTATTTACAAATCACAACAGTTGATGGAAAATAAAAATTATCAAGGTGTCATTGCGTTGTGGAAACACGTGGTGTAGACGAGGAGTCAATGGGAAGTCGGAAAACTCTTTACCATATACGTAAGGTTTAATACAGATGTCTTTAATCTGAAATAAAAATACTACGTAGAAAGTTTGATGCAAAGTTGTTCATTATATTCCATAAGTTCAATAAATAAGGTTTGAATGTTGTTGTTTCCAAAAAACATGTTCAGATTAAAATATTTTGTCTTATAGCTCTCATTTGTTACACCTAAATAAACGGATACATTTTGTATGATTGTAAGTATTATTAAATACTTTTCATGTACACTTATATGGCATGTACGTAAATCTTTGTGCCTAATAAATTGATTAAGGATTAGATCTTACGAATCAAGTATAACAATTGTCAATTGCTTTACTTTTTTTGGGGGTGGGGGGAAGGAACTTTCAATTGTTATACTTGTCTTAGGGATTAATAATTCTTTAATTATCTCGTCAAAAAAAAAAAAATTCTTTAATAATGACAACAATTAGGGTATGTTCACTTCAGCTTAATTTTAGTTCAGTTCAGTTCGGTTCAATTCAGCTCCCAATTTTCTTCATCTCATAAAATATTCATTTCAACTCTATTCAGTTCAGTTCAGTTCAGCTTCAATCAGTCTATGTTCAATAAATGTGAACAGGCCCTTAGAGTTGCACGTTGTCAATTATACAATTTTAATCATCAATATGTTTATTAATCTCCATTAATAAAATTATGATACTTTCTTTCAAAAACTAAAATGCTTTTTAATTTTTACCACTAAGATGAAAAAAAATTGTAGTCAAAAGTTGTTAGAAAATTGAAACGAGGTATGTATACATGTAGTGATGCAGTCCAACTAATACTAAAATTTCTAACAGCCCAAGCCCATCAAAATGCCCCCATCACCCTCATACGAAGAAGGGGTTTGACTTATGTGTTGCTAGTGAGAAACATAATTCAATTTTGAAAATTTTGCAATTTTTTGTTGTTAAAATTCGCATTTTTTGTTGTTAAAAGTCAAAACTCCGTAGTCAATTACTTCAAATCAGCCTTTTCAAAATGGACAAACATATAAGTTAGTAACACCTCCCTTAAACTCGGTTTAATATGCGTTTAAGCAAGAAAAATTACGAGTTTACCAAAAGATGATACTATTGAATAAAGTGGTCAAAAGTTATTAATTGAATTGAAAAGGTTGAAAAGGTTGATGATAGAATATTGAGCTTGAGAAAGAGAGGCCATGAGATTGATAACCTGTCCTATATTTACACAATACAAACCCAGAACAAATTCACTATTCTTACCAAAATATTACACTTGTGCTATACTAATAAGAATTGGATGGAAAGAACACCCTATCAACTGCTGCACAAGACCCCGAAAGCCGCCCTTATACTACCATATATATACTGAATACATATGGACCGAACCCAATGAATTCTACATCTTTGTACAAAAGGCCTATACTTATATTATGTAAATATATATAATATGCACACATTATATGTATAAGGCAAAGCAACCTTTTCTTTTTTTTATTTTTTTATTTTTTACGTATCAACAGTCTCAGGTGACGAGTATGTGGCAGCAAGAAGAGCAGCTCCGATGCCTGACCCATCTTCAGTTACCTTCAGAACTACGTAAGGGGCGAGTTCCTCCCCCAAAATCTCGGCCACGGCATCATTCAAGTACTCTCTGAACATTCTGTAATTTGAATATAGGCCGCCTTCAACTGCAACCACTGTTCTCCTTAATCTATTGCTGCTGCTTGGACCTTTGGCTCTGCTGCTAGCAACCCCACCACTCCCATCTCGACCAATTTTCTTTAGTATCCCGACAATACCAGCAGCTGCAAGGCGGGCTGCCCGACGGGTTACCACATCACATATGTTCACAACGAGTTTCCGGACTTTTGAAGGCACATCTCGAATCTAAGGAGAGGGAAAATTAGATAGACAAGTGATGTAAGAATTAAATTTACAAAATTCAGTTGGGAAATTAGCTGTAGTATACAGTCAGAAGGACATACCCCAAGAACCTCATCCAAAATTCTTGCTACTTCTTCCAGGTCAGGAGACTCATCTTCATGCATTGTCGACATCAAAGGCGTCCTGAGATGATTTTCTTTGTGAGATAATGTTACAAGTACTAATACATGGACAAATATGCATCAATGCAGCAGCTTACCGAGTGGTTTAAATCAAATATAAAATTGACATCATTGTTTTGTAGGGGCTATTTTGCCTTAAAAAATTGTTTCCGATATTGTGATCAAGGAAGCTAGCCAAATTTAGAGAGCGAAAATCCAAGCGGATTTATGAAATCTGGATCTTGGCACTTGCCAGTAAGCAGATGCCGT